GGAATTAGACGCGAGCAACCACTGCGCCATTTATTTGGTCTTTGAGACAGGGACAGTTCTTTTGTTCTGTGTACAACCCGTGCCTAGCACAATGGGGACCTGAGCCCAGAACCTCAATGATCCCACCTAACTACCTTGGAGGGTCTGGGCCCTGGTTCACAACTGGGGCTGTTAGGCACTATTGTAATACTCCTAGCAGTAACAATAATAATAAACACTGATACCCTGTTATGATTATTTCCCTCTGAGTATAACTGGTTTCTTAAATTAATTTTATTAAGACATTTTGATTGTGAAGTATAGTCAAATAAGTAGCATGTAGGACTGCATTTATTCTTTCCCATTTGCATTAGCCTATGCATTTGTGACTATATCTCCATCTCCATATATATGTGTTCAGAGAGTGTGTGTAATATAGACAGTATTTTTTTGGACAGGTAGTATAATATGCTATGCTGCAATATCCTATAGTATGTATTGTGGGGTTTTTATATCAAAATTGGAATGCAGAGAGGATACGCAACAAAAAGAAGGAAAAGGGATGTCCCAAAACAACAAGCATCCCATATTGTTGTCCTAGAAATAAGGGCCTGATTCTCCTCTCACATTGGGTTTGAAGTGGTGTCATGGAGTGATTCCGGATCATGCTAAGGTGTGAGGAGAATCAGGATCAAGCTATCTGCCACAGTGTGCACTGCACTGTAAATTCAACAAGGCTGTGCCGTGGAGTGCACTGCCATGGCCCTGGAAGGAGATCCGTCCGAGAGGATGAGCTGTCATTTTATTCAGCACTAGGACTCGAGTCCATCCAAAAATTGATGTTCAAAAATACAGTCCTTTAAACACAGACAAGACCTTGTACGGACGCTTGATGGCATGTAAGGCTGAAGCTGTGACTTAGATTAAAACATGGGCAGGGGTGACAACTCTGTGGAGCGAATGTAGCTCTCCGTTGCCTGCAAGGGAAACAGAGAGTGATCTTATTGACTGCCATCAGAATGGGTTGTTGTTTTGGCAGCAGGAGCCTTGGAATGGCATGTCTGGAGGGAACGGCTGGCATTTGTTATATGAGTCTTTTCACTGAATGACACTGGCAAAATATGAAAACGCAGTGGTCTAAGGTTAGTAATTCCCTCGGACAATTTACATGCACATGTTTTAGGAGAGGAGTATCCTCCTCCACACACTTCTTTCCCCCCCATCTTTCTCTCTCTCCCTATCTCTCTTTTACACACTCTCTCTCTCTCTCTCCCATACACACACGCACACACACTCCAAATATCAGGGACAATGTGGCTGCCGCACTTTGGAGAAGAAAACGGGACTAGATTTGGGGAATGGAATGAAAGTGCCAAACAGAAGCAGCAGCATTCCAGCAACGTGTGACTCATTGCAGTAAATCTCGCTCAGCAGCTGGTGATGCTGTTATTCTTAGAGGGACTTGCATTTGACACCACACTGGACAAGATCATATAGTGCAAGTTGTGGGTGGGGATGTCAAGTCTGGGATGGCACAAAATTCAGTGCCATATTTTTGGGCTCCACATCCCCCAGAGGAGAGACCCCCCCCCCCTTCAATTTAAGGAATAAAGGACAGGTATGGATGAAGTCCTGATTCCAGAAGATGTCCACGGTTGCCTGCTCCCTGCATCTATGCAACTCTTTATTATTACTTATGGCAGTCTCCAGTGGCCCCAGCTGAGATCAGGAGCTTGTTATGGTCTGTGCTCTACAGCTCCCTAGTAAAAGACAGTCCCAGTCTCAAAAAGCTTACAGTCTAAATAAACAATACAGACGGGGTTGAAAGAGAGGAAGCATTTTTATCCCCATTTTACAGATGGGGCACCCAAGCATAGTGAGAATAAGTGACTTGCCAATGATCACACAGGAAGACTGTGGCAAAGCTTGGAATCTGGAGCCAGATCTGAGTTCCTCCTTTCCCAGTACCTGGATCACAAAAGGAGCCTTCCTCTCAGCTTCTGATCCTGATGCTGCTCCAGTAAAAATGAAAATGTCTCAGGGTGTTTCTGCTTTTCATTGCTGGAAAGGCCTGTGTGTCTTAACAAGCTAGATGATGCAGCTCTGGCTGGGACAGGAGCAAATGGCTCCGCTCCACTCTCAACACGGGGCAAGAGCGGTTGTACAGGGAATGCACCAGGCCACCCAGAGGTATCCTCCTTAGGAGAGGGATCCTGCCCCAGGGCATGACCAAAGCAGGTGCGGGCGGTGATACCCCAAGACCCTGCCCCACTTGGAGGCAGCAGCACCAGTAGGATGGATGCCCTGGAGGTGCCTGATGCTACCCATGACCAACCCTGTGTAGAAGCACATGAGATGGAGGCAGCAGGCTCATCGCAACCCTCCCCGCAGCCATAAGAGCCGGGGGGGGGGGGAGAAAGACCACAGGCCCCACTTCTCCATTCCTCCAGCTGTTCACCAGCAGGGCCTGGGAACGGCTCCCCTGAGGAAGGCCGCCCCGGCCCTGCTGGAATCGCTGCAGAGAGCCTGCAAAATACTGCCAGGCAGAGCCAAGGGGCAAAGCCTTAAACGCAGTGAAAAGTGTTGTCCGAGTAACTCCTTCCCGTCTCCTCCAGGAGGACTGGAGCGCGGCTCAGGCCACAGCCAGCCAGAGCCGAATTGCTCCAACTTCTCCAGACAATCCCTGGCATTCGCGACAGGCCCGCCCCCTTGCTCAGAGCCCACGGAACAAGGAGGCAGTGGGTCAGCCCCCGTCCAAAGCGCGGGAAAAGGCTCTGGCCCCGTCCGCCCGACCGAGGCGGGAAGAGAGGAGAGACCCCCCCCCCCCCGTGCAGGTGACCGCCCCGGAGCGCCACGTGGGCTGAAACGAGCCGCGATTCCCGCCGGCTCGTCCCCGCTGGCCGTGGCCCTCCGCGCCGTTTGCTCCTCGGAGGCGGCACAGGGCAGGGCAAGTAGGTCGCGTGCCTGTACGCCAGGCAATGTGGCACCAGTGCAAATGGCTGGAAAAGGGGACGGGGAGGAGCATAAGCAACAATGTTTGCCCACCTGAAGTGCTGGAGGCTCCTTCCCTCCTGCCTTCCTGACACCCACGAAACACAGGGGCGAAGCGCGGCACCCCTGGCTCCCCCCCCTCCTCCGCTGCATCAAGTGTGCAGATCTCACGCCCGTCCCTCCACTGGGCCAGCTGATGCCTAACTGGCCACTTCTCCGGCAACCAGGTCTGCCGTGCTAACGCCTCTGCAAGGGTCCCCCCTTTCCTGAACGGCTCTGCCAGGGCGCTACCCTCTCCTAGTTCAAATCTCCCCTGAAGACCTTCCGCTGTGCAATGCCCGCGAGCAACTGGCCAGCCAAGATTGCCATGTTGCAGCGTTTATAAAGACAACCCTTTACCCAGGGTGGGCGCCAGCCTTGGCTGAGGAGCCCCCTGACCGTACTGATGTCACCCCCACCCAGCCTCCTCCACACACCCCTCCCTTGCCGCTTCGCGGCCCGTCACCCTTTTGCCTCCCGTCCGAAATCAGCCCGCCCTGCTGCGGCTGCCTTCGGGCCCGGGGCAGCGTGCGGGTAAGTGCCGGGCCAGCGTCCTTGTGCACCGGCGACCTGGGCCAGGGCTCGTGACTTCTGAGCTGTATTGGGAAGCGCTTGGCCCACTTGGGCGCTGCAAAAAGGGCAATGGCTAGAAATGGGCTGGGATCAGTTCTCGGGTCTATTGCGCAGCGTGGGGGAGAGGGAAAGAAGAAACAGGCGTCCTTTGACACATCCCCTTTCCTTCCCATTACCGCTAGAGGCCCACGCTGCCGGTACGCCTTAAATTAACCCTTTTTCGTACCAAGCAAACAGAGCCAACCTCCCCCCCCCCCCGCCCTAAATAGGGCACATTTTTCTTAATCTTAAATATTGCTTAGACAACCTGGAATAATTGCTGATTGGGGGGGCTGGGAGGGAGAGCGTGCGATTGTCTGTTTTCTCCTCTAGTGCCCAGCTACGCCTGCAATGCTCAGACCATCTGCTCTACAATCCCGAGCAGGGGGAAATGCCGTGTAACTTCACCGCATCGTGTACATCTATCTGTCTAGCCTCCTGTTTTCCTGTCTCCCTCTGGATGGCTACCCTGGTGCCCAGCAGAGCTTGCGCTTCCTCTATCCTCCTGGGCCCATAGAAGGGGTTGGAGTCCTTAAGCACATGAAAGAAAGGGGGTACCACCGGTTTCCCCCACTACCCCGCCCCTAGTTCTTGCTGGGGATGAGGAAGGGGGGGGCCTGAAAGACAGGGCTCTTTGGGGGGCTGGGGACTGTTTAAAGTGAAGGGACAGGAGCTGCCTGGAGTTGGATCCTTTCGATGCATATTCGTCCCTGCTGATTCACGTCGTTGTATCCAAACAGTTTGTAGCGTTATTTGGGGGGTGAGCAGTTTTTAGGAGTCCATTCCCTCCCCCGCCACCCCTGCTTTCTCTCCCAGCTCGCTCACGCCCGCGGAAATCTCCCACGCCGTCCCCCGGGAATTCTTTGTGCCTTCCCCAAGCCTGCGAGTGTCAGTCGCTCCCTCGGGATGCCCTTGGAATAGCTCAGGAGCGGAAAGTGTCCCTCATTTCCAGGAACATTTGCACATGCTTTGCAAACGCCCCGAGGATTTAAAAGGAGTCAAAGATCTTCTTTGACTCTCGCTTCCTTCCCACCCACCCCCACCCCCAAGTCAACGACTGGCTGGTTTTTGTGTCCCTTGATTCAGATTTTGGGAGGCTTGTCCCTGATTTCTCTGTGAGGTAGGAAGATGGGTCCTTTAATCTCCCCCTAACCCTCTGACCTTCCTCCCTTAAGGAGCTTTTCCCCTTCATGTCTCTGCTTTTTAAAGCCTTCTTTTCAAATAAAAGCAATTTCCTTTTGGAACTGTAACTATGACATGGCGAAACGCTTTTTAAAACAATAAAGGGGTAAGACGGGGGGGGAAAGCGTCTCTTTTCAGTGTTTGTATTCTGCTAGAGCTGTTTGTTTAGATACTTTACATAAGACAGTAAACATTAGGCAAGTTTGAAAGGCTTTAATTAAAAAAGGTGGTGAGCTCGGGAAAAAAGCCTTTCAATTGACATAGCTACTTAGTGAAGCGGCCCCAGACAGACAAGACAAATACATCCTGAGGTGAGGAATCCAAGAAAACCTAGAGGACAAAGATAAAGAATAATAGAATATCACCACATCTACCTATAGCTACACATAGATAGATGTAGTTATATGATGTGGGTGCCCACATATTTATGACAAACACACACATAATTATTATACATTTGTTACTCATCTTACATTGTTGTAAACACGTCTACATGTAGAACCCAAGAAACCTTGACGACAAAGATGAATAGTAACAGAATGTCTATCAATAGAGATGTATTTATGTGTAGGGGGGGATGTATCTATCTCTGTGTGTGCCACACGTCTAGTTATACTATTACTTCATATATGTTTGTCCTTTATGTAGGCTTGAATACCATATATAAAAGGTGTGTATAATATGTTACCAGGATCTGACCTAGTCAGTATTTCACAGATTAGATTTGCGGGTAAGTATTTAGGCAAGCACAAACATCTTTCTCCCTTTCTCACGTTCTGTGGACTAGATATTTATATTTGGATCGTAATGGCCCTGTTTCATAGGAGGGACGGACACACACACAAAATGTATGAAGTAAAATGCAAGTCTAGCTGTGCCCCCTAGGAGTAGTAGCCTGCAACCAGGTCTTTTAGCTCGGAGCCCGCGAACATTCCGACTATTTTCTTTTTTCTCTTGTTGCTTAATGTAAAAATCTATAAGCGAAACGCCCTGGGAGATCACAACCTTTTCACTGAAACCCGACAACCTGGCTTTGAAGTGCCTGGCTTTTTTTCTCAAAGGCCTGTGTGCGGAACTGGCAGGTCCTGAATGACCCCTGCATTGTAATCAAGCTGATATTGCAGCGATTCATTGGACCAGATCCGTGTAGTGATCTCAGCTCTCTGATCTGTGAGCTGGCAAGAGCAGTGCTGTTCATTCACAAATCCTCTTCAGTGCTCGGGCTGCCACGAGGGTAGCCCTGGACCCAGAAGAAGCGGCAGCAGGAATCGCCTGTGACGCTTTGCCATGAATATTGCATTAGATGCCGCTACATAGTCAAATGCCAAGCACTGTTTTGCAAAACTCCCTATGCCTGGCATTCCCCGGGAAAGAAAAGCAAGGCTTACCTTCCAACCTCAGGAGTTTGCAAACTGACCGCTCATGGTCTGTCTACGTTCATAATGAATGTTTACAAACCATTAGACTGAGCAATCAATCCCATCCTCTTTCTAGGGCTGGGCATATTTCAGGCTTCACAAATATCAAGCATGTCTGTTGGGTTGGATCATGTTTAATATAAAAATAAGAGCTTACAAACTGATACGGGGCGGGAGTTTATTAAATGGTCCCGTCTTTAAACTTTAAAACAAACAGGAAATTCTATTTTTTAATTGTTACTCTAACGATGGATCATTGAATGTTAATGTATTTTTTTAAAAAACCCCACTACCTACCTAAAGATATCTTTTTAGATTTTCATATTCGTATATTGGCAGTTCTACAAGGAAAAAAATGAATTTATTTTTCTCCAAAATGTTTCTTTCATTACGCACGGCAATTGCTTAAAAACCACCAACTTTCTCTTTTCCGTAATAACAGACATACTGCAAAGTTACAGTAATAATACATGTAGCATAACATCTAGATATTTTGAAAGTGAAAATATTTCGGAGATTTTAAAATATATTTGACTTTTTAAAAGTTTTGAGACAAATTCAATTTTAACTTTCTCTCTCTCTCGGGGTGTGTGTGTGTGTGTGTGTGTGAATGAACATTGTACGTGTCCAATTCACCTCACTGACTACAAGAGCTTTTAAAACTTCTTAAAATCTGGATAATACAAGTGCTAGAGTTGGAGAAATCATATAAAAATATGATCTAGCATAAATATTGGCATTGTTACTTTCTGGAGAGGAACTGACTACGTTAATATAAAAAGTGGCATTTTTCGGAGGCCGAATTATTCATATTTGGATAGAATTTTGAAAGAGAATTGTGCTAGGCTGTATTGCTCCTGTTAAGCCAAAGCAAAACAAAAACCAAACAAACAAAATCCTAAATGTATTTCCACACTATGGAGTCTTGATGAGAAACAGTTTTATATACTGCAACAGTTATAAAACAAAATATAAATACAAGGCGTTTCAGACATATAGATTAATTCCGAATATTTACTGCAGACTTCAATTATCTGTCTTATCTTCTCTGTGAAGCCCCTCACATATATTATTACTGAAAACGTTGCAAAAATGAAACCAGAGAGAAGACTGTATTTTCTCATTTTCAGTGTGTTGCTGACCAATAATTTAGCATCGAAGGGGGCATGTCCTAAATATACAGGTAAACTTTGCTTGCTTCAAATCACTCAGGCAATAAAGATGTGAGGTGCCTGCTTAAAATTGGAGATGCTCAGTTCCTCCAAGTACATAAACACAGCCTGGAAATGAATACTCCGACTGAACCAGGCTGATGAGAAACCTCTGCTAGAAAGTGACACTAACAAACTAAAGTGTGTTCCCAGCGTTCACAGCAGGCTGATACACTCATTTACTGTTTGTTTCCCAGTAGAGTCTTGCCCATTCACTACTATGTCATTTAGTAATTTGGCAATCAGACTTAACCTCCCGCAGCAAAACTGTTATTTCAAATGTGAAACGTTATTACTGGATAGGATAAAAAGAAACCTGAATCAACATGTTCTAGATTAATCAAAGACTTAATAAAAAGTAAATGGTCAAACACCAACTGTTTGAAATAAAGATTTGGCAACAATTATCACTATTTTGGAGGGGTATTTTTGTTAATTTCTTTGTTGTTCTTGCTGCTTTTTCTGGGAGAATCTCTTGCCTAATCTGTTTTCCAGAAAAAGTTACACAGAGAGCTTCTTATGACTAGGGACAGTAAGTTGAGAGTTTGGACTGAATTAAAAGGAGGACTTGTGGCGCCTTAGAGACTAACACATTTATTTGAAGCATAAGCTTTCGTGAGCTACAGCTCACTTCATCACCCAAACACCTATGTAAATATTTCTTCCAAATTCTGGTTTACCGGTTTTGGGGGTGGCAGGAGGTGGAGTTAGCTTGCAAAATCTACAGCCAAAACAGAAAAGAACAAACAAGCCATTTGCAGTGTAGCAATGTGAATCAATTGGATACAAATCCCAGTTCAAATTACCTCCCACCCAATCCTTAAACAGCTGTAAAGTAGCGTTCGGGAGACCATAAAAGTTGATTATCTAGCGGGAAGTTTGAGTTGAAATTACGCAGTTAATTAGAGCACTGACTATTACTCGCTCCAAGTAAATGTTGAGGTGTAAATCCAAAGGCGTTTCAGGGAATTAGTTACATATGTGGGAAATCTAAGACCAGATCCCATTTCCCTTCCCTAGTCTCTGCTAATACTCCAAATGGTATAGAGTTGCTGAACTTTACCGTCACAACAGAAGCTGTTGTGTCTGTGCGGATTAACTCCTCTAAATCGCAGAAAGAAAATGAAACCATGAAACTTTTACGCAAAAACAACCAAACAATATTGGCAGCGCAATGGAGATTTGAGGATAAAGAAAAAGCCTTTTGGGGAATAACTTTTTGGTGAAGATTTTTAAAACTGTTCAGTTATCCCCCCCCCCCCCCCTGGACTCCAGGTATTCAGTTATTTCGGTTATTTATCAAACCCTTGTTTAAGATAATTCCAGTCCAAGTCTCTCTGGGGGAGCCAATGGCTTGTGTGGCGGGGGGCTCGTTCTGCGGGATGGGGACAACCCCAGAGTTCCATTCTCCTGGGAAACTGCCTCGCTCCTTGAAAATGGAAAAGAAAAATAAATCTCCCTTGGGCATTTGGGGCCCGATTCTGAATCCCTGACTGCGGCAAAACGCCTGTTAGCTTCTGGTAATATGTGGGGGGAAGCTGCCTGACTCAGGATTTGGTCTCGATAACGTCTGGAGTCATGGCTGGGTGAAATTATGGAGGATTTCCCCCCTCATGATAAACTCGGTGCTAGGTCGTCTGTAGTTTATAAAGTTAACCCGGGAACACAACCAGCTGGACTTTAGTCATCATGTTTTACTCGGGGAAAGCTTCCCAGTGCCTGGCCATTTCAAACGCCCGGTTCCCTGGGAGCTCTGTCTCAGAAAGGACAGCGGGATCGGGCCCTAGCCGTTTCTTGGTTGTGCGGCTGTTTGGAAGGTGGAGATGCCGCAGTACCCAAGATCCGTCCTTCCAGAGAAGTTTTACCATCATCAGCAAGTGCCTTGGAACAAGTGGGCTCGCCACCTTGGTCCACGCAGACCTGCCTAGCATTAGTAACGCTTCCGAATTAGGTGCGTTAAAGCATTATTCGTGCCTTTGAAAGGGAGAGCTATCCATCCAACGCCTGTCATGGCCAATGACACAAAGTTTATCTTCTGTGAAACCGTTTGTTGTTGTTGTTGCTAACATCGCCTTAATAACGTGGAAGTGAACTGAGGTTTAGTTTTTCCAGCATACACTGTGTGTTGGTAACAAGCCACTTCTTTGTTGTAATGATCGCATTTCCCTTACTCTTGTAGAGTAGGAGTAACCTCTGTCAGCTAAAAGGTACATGGCATTCTGTAGAGATCAGCAAGACATGTGACAAGAGTTTAAACAAACGGGGAATATGATATTCAAACAATGCAACTTACACAGTAGGTGGATTTCTAGGGAATTTGTCCTTCATCGGTCTCTACCGCCAATGGAAATGACCATGATGTTCATAAGGCTACTTTCCCGGCAACTTTCCATCCCATGGCCACTCATGAATTTACCCACCCCACCGTTAGAGCACAGTTGGGCTGAGGGTAGAGGGATGAACAGGATGTATGTTCAGCATAACGAGGAAACCACAATTTCACGATCCTGAAGGAAAGTAAAACCCAGGCTTTCTAGATCAGCCAGTTGCCACAATTGACGGGGAAGTCTTCCTAACGTGAAGCCCAAACAATTACAGGAAACGGACACCTGAACTGATTGCCCGTCTCACCTTAATGTCATGGCCAGAGCCTGAAATGCTGCCTGGTTTTTCCCTATTCAGCTTCGTAAAGTGTAGGTTTCTAAAGTTTATTTGCTAGATGCGTTATGCAAGAAAAGCCTAGCAGCAGGGTAAAAGGCAGCCTTATAACTATGCTCTTTGTTTGAGGCTCTTCTTCCATGGTACCTTATCAGTGTACAGCTTTGCGGGATGTGGGGATCTTTTCTGGACAACAGTTCAGATTTATTTTAACCACTAGGGATGTTAAAGCCCTTGCTGATTTTTCCCCTTCCCTGTCCATAAAAACTGTACAGTTGGAGAACTACTGGATGTGTTGGCATCAGCATCCCTCTGGACACACAACGTAGTGCCCACTTACCGTTCAAAAGCCTTTCTGCAAGGACGAATGGGATATGAAAGTCTGGCTCCTTTTTCCTCCCATCCTGCGAAACAGACGCCAATGGCTGTCTTGCAACACTCGTTAATAAGTGATTCCCCCATAACAAGTTTGGGAAGCAATAACAAGCAATGCAGTTCGTTTTAGCTAGCTCTGGGTATTGTGCTGCCCAGTTGGGATATCATCCAGTTGGGTTTAACCACTTCTGCGCTTGCCCATTTCTCAAAAGATACGAGAATTTATTTTTCAAAACAATTGCCTCTGGCAGTAGATACAAAACCTTTCACCTCCTCTGCAGTTGACACTGTTCGATGTGAGAGATGGGGCCGGGGGGGGGGGCGAAGGAATGATTTTCAGAGGCATTATTGGTTTGGAAATCTCATAAAACTGTGAAATTTGGTGCATGTCAACTATTTGCAGGCAGTGTCCTCGCCTTTTGTTGCAAGGACGGGGTGCGTTTGAATGTGGGGTAGGTCCTCTCGATTTTTCACTGGGTACTGTGCATTTTGCTTCTTTGCTTTAGTTCTTCGGGGGCAGTCCCTACTGAGTGCCGGGCACTAACAGAGCCGAGGTACGGGACCGGAGTTGGCCTTGGATCTATCAGCTTTAGCCTTTGCCATTGTTTCTGTTATGATTTAGCTTTCAGAATGATCGGGGCATCTCTACCAACTGTGTGACTGACAAGTCCAGCGAAAGCCTGGCCTATCTAATTGCTTTCATTACTTCTAACTTTCACCATATCAACCAATATGAGCTGTAAGAGACAAGGTTAGCAGAGTAATGATACAAATCGCCCTGCTTTTAGCCTCACTGCAGCATGACGGTCTAATATTTCCAATGGAATCACAGAGCAAGCCACACCATGCATGGAATACAATCGATCTGGACAACTTTGACCTTCTAATGTTTCCAAATTTTAATGTAATAACTAACTTTTCTGTGTGCGATATGTGAAAAATGTAAAAACAAGGGTGTTATAAAAGTGCGAAGTTTTTATTTTATTTTATTTTTGCTCCAGATGCTTTCGAGGAAAATACATTTTTAATGGTAGCCATTTAATTGATCCACGTTTTAACTAGACAGGTACATAAAGGGGAAAGAAGCACACAGTCCATCGCTGGATATGAACATCTACTTTAGCAGTCACCAGCTCTATTCGATACCTTGAAAAAGCACAACACTACTTCAAAGTCCACCCCCCGGCCATCTGCAGCAGTTAATAAGTAAAAGGTCTATTTAAAACAAAAAGCAATTGCGAGTTGAAAATAAAATTGCTGCTGAAAATCTTTTTAATGGGATTGAACTTTTAGACAGAAATACTATTGGAAAATAATGTAACTCAAATTTCCTTAGTCAGGTATTCCTTAGCCAGGAGTCTTTCCCCTCCATTCTGTAAACCAGAGTTGTTCCTTTGCCGGGATTATTGTCAGGGAATAGTCAGGTTCAGTTATTGTTTTGTACAGCTTTGTTTATCTCCTGCTTTGGAGTTGATCTGAGGAATTCTCCTCGCCTCCCTGTCTGTTTGGAAATATTCACTGTATAAATGTCTCTGCTAAAGATCATTTTAACAAATGGAAATGTTAAAGTGTCATCGCACTGTGACAGTGAGGCATGTTTAATACATTGGACAGGGAATGTTTATTTCAAGATATTTTAAGTTCTAGTCAATAATTTGGATCTGCCCGCGAGCGAAATATTTGACGTGCATCACCTTGAACACGTTTAATTATGGGGTAGTTGCAAGCCAGGGCTTCGAAGTAATTAGAAAATACTTCTTGGGAGACAGACTAATCGCTTTTCATGGGGCACTTCAAAAAAAATTAACCCCTACTGCTTGTTTGAGCAAAAACAACTTTAGGTCAGCAAGACCTGATCTCTTTGCTGGATCCTCTGGACGATCTAAAAGAGATTCCCTGCATCCTTTTCCTCTAGACCCGCAAAGACACATTAGAATTACCCTCCACCCCAACCAACAATAACAAAAACCTTCGCAATACTTTCAGTGTGAGAGTTTGGGTGACACAAAAGCAATGTACAAACGAATTATCTTATAGGTGGGGACCTGCCATAGGCGAGGGGCTGACCGTCTCTCTGGTTCTGCGGACGGAAAGGGGAATGAAAATCCAGGAGTAGGCTGCCAGATTTGTGCCTAGAGTCTCCAGAATTTCTCACGATAAGGCTTTCCTTCAAACAAGAATAGATTGTGCCCTGTGCAGTTACTGAGCAGACAGACGTGTGCTTTCACCCTCCTGGTTTTTAGCCCATCTTGGCATTCCCCATTTGACTCCAGCTGTCGAGCACTAAAGATAGCCCATAATTACCAGTGCTAAGTCAATATAACATCATCATCACCCTCACCATGCGTGGGTACCATACACTACTCTGTGTGGGCTTGCTTCGGGTCCTCCCCTGTTGGGAAGTCTAATTAATTTGAGGTGGGGTTTTTTGTTCCCCTTTAGCTCAGACAATTGCAGGTCTCGCTCTCTCTCCTTGCACCTGAGAAACCCGTGCCGCAAAGAACAAGGCAACAGCAAGTTGGAGCCTGGTGGGTAAAGCCGGGGCTCAGGAACCGGCCCCGGGGGAGGGGGGGGATTGGTTCCCCAGCCTCCGGCAACTTTCCTGGTCTCCCAGCTCTTCCTCCCTTATATGCGCTCGCTCTCCTCCCAGCCTCCCTGCACTTCTGTCGGCCTCCCAGACCTCTGCCTTCCTGCCGGTGCAAGCTTCTCGGCTTCCCCGCTCCTCTCCGGAGCAGGGGAAGGGAGGCATGGTGTGGTGGCTAGGCCCGAGGACCGTCTATCTTTCCAACCCCAGGAAGGGCAGGAGCTGCCTCCTGATTGTTTGTGCTTTGGCCCCTCGCCTTCGTTTTGTCTTTGGCGCTGGCTGGCTCTGGTGCCCGCCGATCACAACCGTTTTTTGGCATCGCCTCTCTCCAATCTCCCCCAGCGAGTGTGTGTGTGTGTGTTATTAAAGCGGCACTAACTCTCCTGCGCTTCACTGACCTTTTGGTGACTTTCACAAATTCAAGCCCAGCCAAGCAAAGATCCCGCGGATCTCAGCTGATTGTTTTTGTTTTGTCTGTGGGCGGATTGTTTAGGGCGGTGGGGAGGAAAATTCTTAGCCGGCAAAAGAATGAGATTGTTGGTAAAGCCAATAGGGGAATGGGGGCGGGAGACCCACTTTGAAACCACACGTGAGACCCCTTCAAAATTACATAATCCCCCCTTTTCAACCCAGATACACTTTGATCCTAATTTTTGGTTTCACGGGATTTCTTTCTAAAGACAAAGGCAAGCAAATGGACATCGCGGCAGCTTCTCAATACGAAAAATTAGCCTTTGATTATTTTGGTGAAGAAAAAAACTTCAGGGGGGTGGGGCCGAGGGGCAGAATCGCGTCGCACTGCCTGTCCATGGGAAACCTCTCTGTTTAATATTGTTTCTGAAGCTGGAATAAATGATCAAAGGCTTCTGTCCAGCTTTCAACAGAATGAGTCAATCATCATTCCCACTTCTGTATATTTCCCTGACTCCGCAACGAGCCCCACCACCTCGAACATTTGAAAAAGAAGCCACCTTGTCTCTCTGTCACATTTGCCCGGTTCTTCTGCAGGGTGTATTTCAGAATCAGGGGGAAAGAAGGAGGGGAGACAGTAGGGAGCGTACGAAAGAGTTGTTCTAAAATTAACTGCATCTGTTTCTTCTCCCCAGTGCAAATAAAGGGGCCGCAGGAAAAAAATCCCTTTGTATCACACAGCAGCTCGTTTAATATTATTTATGCATTTGTGCAAGGAATTGTGGGATTTCCCCCTTCTCCCTCCCCCCCCCCCCCATGGTAAACAATATGGAAATAAAAAAATTGTATACTGGAGGCTTTTCTAATGAATCAGACAAAGATATAAAGCGAAAGAGATCAGCAGGGCAAGTGGTGATGTATCTATCTGTTGTTTAGGGGGTTAGCTAGTTCTGCCTTCTCTCTCTCTCCTTTAAAAAACACACACACCCTCGAGTAGAGAGGACACTATTGCTTTAAAAGAAGGGGGAGGGGGCAGCTAGAGGGAAAGGGGGGGGCTGCTGCTGTCATTTACTAGAGTGCTACTGTATCACGTGTGGAAATGCCTCCTCTGCCATTGGCCAAAGGCACGTGTCTAGGATACCGGGCTTGCAACGTCACTTGAGGGGCTCTATTAAAAATAAGAACAAAAATCCAGAGTGAAAGTATTTCAGGTTCAGTTTAAGTGGCTTCTAAATTTATACCCAAACTATAGCGAGACCGAGAGAGATTTTTCCTAACTCCTGCCATGTAACCTGGAATATTTTGTTCAAAGAGGGGAAAAGAGAGAGAGAGAGGGAGAGCTGCCTTGCTTGTACATATGTCTCTGTGTGTCTCAGCCTGCGTGTGCTGGGCGGTGTGTAGGGAGAAATATACACCCTCTTCTAGAGTCTCTCTCTCAAAGCAGATGTGGCAGCACTGACATTTTTATTATTCTTTTTATTTTTCCCCTTGAAGGATCTTCACGATTTTTTAGGATACTGTTGGCATCTTTTTTCTTTTAAAACCCAGGAGCTGGAGAAGAGAGAAAGAGAGAGAGAGCGAGAGAGCGAGAGCTAGAGCGGGGGTGGGTGGGTGGGTGGGGGGGCGGAAAGGATTGTTAATGAAAGTCCTAATGATGAACACATTTTGGGGGAAGGAATGCACTGGTTTGCAGGACTGAAAGGCTAACAAGCGGAAGAAAGAAAGGAAAAGAAGGGGGGGAAAGAAGGAGGATTTAAAACCAACGTTCTGGGTGAAGTTCGAGCACCCCCGAGGCTCTGATTTCGCCAACTCTGGATTTTGAGCATCATTCGAACTGAGTGGAGCCAGGGAACGAACAAACAAACAAACAAACACACGTTTTGTCAAACCCAGTCGCTCTCACACAAGGAGGGGTGGGGGCTTGAAACGAGAAGCATCTGGGGGTTTGTCCTACAGCATGGAGGAGAATGACCACGGTCCTAGGGAAGATTCACTGGAGCAGCAGCAGCGGGAGTCCAGCGGCGGCAGCAGCGATGCGGAGCCCAACAGGAGCCGGGCGATGATCCTGCCCGTGGTTCTGCAGGCGCCTGGGAATCACCAGCACCCGCACCGGATCACGAACTTTTTCA